GCAGAGGGAGAGGGAGAAGCAGGCTCCCCGCGGAGCAGGGAGTCTGATGCGGGGCTCAGTCCAGGACTCTGGGATCATGACCTGAGCCGAAGGCAGACACTTACCCGACTGAGCCACCCAGGTGCCCAAAACAGATGTATTTTTTTATTTGAAAGAGCGAGAACATGAGTGGCAGGAAGGGCAGAGGGCAGAGGGAGAGAGAATCTCAAGCAGTTTCCCTGCTGAGCTTTGAGCCCAGTGTGGGGCTAGATCTCACGACCCTGAGATCAGGACGGGAGACAAAAATCAAGAGTTGGATACTTAACCGACTGAGCCACCCAAGCACCCATGTTCTTTTAAATCTTGTCAGACTTTGGTCAAAAAACAAATAAATCTTGCATTTGCTGTATCCTCTCTCGTACCTTTTCTACGTATAGTCGTGCTCTGCACTTCTTGTCTCCTCTTGGGGGCTGTGGAATTTCTGATTGTAGGCCTTCTCTTGATACTGCAAAGCCAGGCCAGGTGCTGACAGCCTTCCTTTTGCTTTCCCTTGTGTGGTGCTGAATGCTCCCGTTTCGTGTTGACGCACAGTCCCACAGAGTTGGGCCGGCGTTGTCTGCATGCTCTCTAGCCTTCTGCAAGGCTCACTCTGAACGCATTTGGGAGCGCACTCAGGGAGCTGACCGCCAGCTTGAGAGATGTGTGGGTGATGTGCACTGAGCACTGGGGGGTTCAGAGGTGTAGTGTCCCTGGCAGCTCATGGACAGGCTTCCTGATGGAGTCTGCAGTGCAGTTAGTAGGATCTGCATCTCTTCCGTTGCCCCGTTAAGACCTCCACCTGCTCTTTTTTTTTTTAAGATTTTATTTTATTTATTTATTTGAGAGAGAGAGAATGAGAGACAGAGAGCATGAGAAGGAGGAAGGTCAGAGGGAGAAGCAGACTCCTCCGCTGAGCAGGGAGCCCGATGCGGGACTCGATCCCGGGACTCCAGGATCATGACCTGAGCCGAAGGCAGTCGCTTAACCGACTGAGCCACCCAGGCGCCCTCCACCTGCTCTTTTCACGGGGGCTTCCCAGCCCCAGGTCATGCAGCACACCCCGGTATTGTAGGGAGTGCAGGAAGACCTGGGTTTCTTTGGCTAGAGGAGCAGGTCACTCACTTAGATGCTCTCCCTTTCTCCCAAGGGAGAAAACATGGGTCAGGATGTGCCACTGAGATGTGCCATTTTGGGAGAATGGTGATCCAGTTAAAGTGAAACTGTTACTCTTACCCTTTTTAATGCACCTAGTCTTCGATGACTTTTTTTTTTTAAAGACCCCATTTATTTATTTGACAGAGAGAGACAGTGAGAGAGGGAACACAAGCAGGCAGAGTGGGAGAGGGAGAAGCAGGCTCCCTGCTGAGCAGAGAGCCTGACGCGGGGCTCTATCCCAGGACCCTGGGATCATGACCTGAGCCGAAGGCAGACGCTTAATGACTGAGCCACCCAGGCACCCCTCAATGACTTCTTTTTATTTCCTTGCTCCAACAGTGTGCTGGAACTTCTCTGCTGGGCTCCCGAATTTCCACAAAGGCCCTCTCATGCTGGATGATTGTCTAATCAGTGTTCTTTGAGAGGAAGACAGTAGAAAAGTATCCTGGCATGTTGATGAAGTCTGTTTCTTCAGAAAGTAATCTTTTTTTATAATAACAGTTGGAGCCCTTTCACAGGAAGGCAAGAAAGAGGGCATGAAGGGAAGGTTTTATGTTTGACTGCATGAAAATTTTAAGTAAAAGATCCAGGAAAACCTGAGAAGTCTGCTATAGACATGGCTCTGTGCAATTTATCAGTCATGTTGAGCTCACTGCTCAGTGAGTCAGAAGATCACGTAAAGAAAGCAAGGATGCTGCTGATAAAAGACTAACTGGTTGAACAAGGTTTTACTGGTTAATATGAAAAATCGAATGTCTTTACAAACTACATCTTGAAATAATGTAAAATTATTTAACAAGGACTGAAGAATATTTTCAGTATATAATACTGAAAAACACTGAGGCCTCATGACAATAAATTTTGAGGGGGAAGTAATTTAAAAAAATTTTAAAAACATGGTAATTAGGACATTGGCTCTTCCTTTGTGCCCTATGCCGCTGTTAAGGCTTCTGTTCTGTCCTCCATCCCTGATGACCCCACTGATTCTTGTCTAGATCACTCTTATTTTGCTATTATGTCTTTATGAGCCCACTGGATCCACCTGCCCCCCATCCTTTATTTAACTCTCATTCGACCTTACTTTCTCTGACTCGTTCTGTCTCCCTTGTTGTTCTCCCTCTTTGATGTGTTCTTTCCTCCATATCCCACACCTGACTAGACATCCATATGGATGTACTGAAGATACCCTCCTAGGAAGAGCCCACTTTCCAGTGACACACTGGGAATGTAAACATGCCATGCCAGACACAGCACGGAAGGTGAAATTTGGAATAGGAGAGGTTGGTGGCCCCCCCCCGCAGCCCCGGGACCTTCCTGAGAAAGCCTGAAGGGCGGACCTGAGAAACAGCAGGGCACAGCTCCCAGGAGAACAGAAAAGGGGTCTCAGGAGAGGACTGGGGTCTGCAGAATGCTAGGACCAGGAATGGCATGGCACGGCACCTGGGGGATGGTCTGGAGGGCCAACAGGGTTGATGGTGGTGAAAGGCAATAATCCACTTCCCTAATTGTGACTTGTCATAGCATTGGGACAGGAGACAGTGAAGAGCCCAAAGGCAGAAAGTCCAAACAGGGATAGCTTCCCATCCATTTTAACTAGAAACAAAGTGAGTTAGACCTGGCGGCGGAACGGCCAGTGTCCTGAGCCTCTCGGGGGTCTCCCTGCTGATGGTATGGACAGGTGCGTGGACTGTGCTATCTGCTGGGACTCCTGCAACCAGGTGTGAAGAATGGGTGGGGAGGGGAGGTACCAGTGAATGCAGGATTTGAGTCTCAAAGACAGGAGCACCTGGTCCACTTGGGTGGTACCTTTGCTCCAGCAAATCTGCTTCTAGCTCAACAGGAGGCTATAGGGCGGGTAGTGTTGGTCAAAGAGGGGCCTCCCCCAGGAAGGGGCAGGGGCAGTGTGGCTTGGGTGAGGTGGTGCTGGGCCTTGAGAAACACGTAGCCAGTGTGAGCAGTCCATGCCCCACCTGCCCAATTCAGGTGTTTCTGCACCTGCCCCTTCCTCCACCAGTATGTATCACCTCACACTTTTGCTTTGGGGTTTTGCTTCAAAGTAGCTTTGGTCCTTTCCCCTAGTGGAGAATTTAGAATCCTTGATCCCCCAACCTACAGGCTTTCTACCACATAGCTCTGTAACTCCTCACCATTCTGCTCCAACTTAACACTCTCACTCAGAGCCCCATCCCTGGTGCCCACAGCTCCCACATCTCTGGACTGTTCAGACCCTGGATTCTAGTCTTCCCTTCTCCAGAGCCCCTGCAAGTCCCACAGGCCTGACCCCACAATTCTGGTTTCACTTCTCCCAGGCTCCCCAGTGGGCGTGCTCTGTGGGTCTTTACTGCACTGCTGAGCTGGCGCTTTCTACCTCGTGTGCCCTCTAAGACATCACACACCCTGATCTCACAAGCCCTGACATGTCGTGCATGTGCACGGAGGAGATCTGAGAACACGTGCCTGTGTTGACAGTCACGTGTGCACCTTCCACACTGATCACATACTCTCAGACACCATAATGACCCATGCCTTCTAAAGTCACAGAAACAACAAGGAAACATGACTGTATACAGGTCATAGAATCACCATATGCCCTCTGCCCACACACACAATTGCTGACACAGTCCTCAAAGGAAAACCCGGCTGTGCCCATGTGTGCTTTGATAATAGGGTATTTCACCCTTGGACATCAACATGGAAGCCCAGGGCTGAGGCGGCCAGGCACTTGGCACAGGAATGAAATGCATGCTGACCTCCATCAGAACCCAGCACAACTGGTTTGTATGGCTGACCTATGGGTGTTTGATACGAACACAGTACCAAGAAATGAAGTTAGGGAAGTGTAGATAATTAAGCCCATGAGAAAGGATCAAAGTTTTAATGTGATTCCAACTTGTAAACTGGAGAATATAAATAGTTACTATTTTCAAAATTCTGACAAATATATTATGCATTAAAAATAGAGATGAATCATTCTTCGGTTTAAAATGTCTCCAGGTGAATTATTTCCATTTTGGCCCTGAGTAGCTTGTCCTGGACCAACTAACCAGTGACAGCAGTGAAACCTTACTAAAGTACACAAGCAACTGCTCAGAGGTATGAAGTGTAGCCTGTTCAGATGACTTGATACAGTCTGAGAAAAGGGAAGCTCGACGATGTGATTTTCATATTCACACTGGCTTTTTCTACTGAAGCATCTGGAAATGAACACTATGGAAGGACAGTCCAGAGAAATAGGCAGCTTTTCTTGACTGAGAACAAAATCAGTTGGAAATTTGTTCAAGCAAAATACTGAGGCTTCTGCTTCCAGGTAAGATGTTGAGTAGAGGGCGCCTGGGTGGCTCAGTCGTTAAGCGTTTGC